ACGACTAATGCTACAAATACTGGATGTCCGAGAAAATCCGTATATCTCATTTTCTTAAGAAACTAAGCATGTTGGAGAAAAATGTTTCAGACAAAAGTTATACGGCTTAAAGGAGGACATAAAACTCCGGTAAAGTTATGTTTACAGATGGCGCCACTTTCGAGCCTATTCACTGATCATTACTTTTCTTAGATGGAAACCCCAATTTTTTATCATATCTGCCCTTTTCGCCCATTAATCTAAACAACTTTTGTCCGAAACATTTTTTTATTTATCTAATATTTTTTTAGATATTTAAGGAAAACTCTTTCAACATTTAACTTACGATATCTTGCTGGCTATTTGTTGAAAGGAAAAGTGATATACTTTTTTATGCTATTTAGCCTCTAGAATATATTGTTACAATAGTGCCCTGATTTTTTGTTAATTTGATGATTTTGAAATTTCCAAAGGCCGATAAGTTAACAAAAATTAGGACACTTTTGCAATAATATATTCTAGGGACCAAATGGAATAAGAAAGTCTAATACCACTTTTTCTTCCGACAAATAGCGATATATCGCAAGTTAAATGTTGAAAGTGTTTTCCTTAAATAGTAAAAAAAATATTAGGCAAATGAACAAATGTTTCGAACAAAAGTTGTTCAAATTGAGTGGTAAAATAAGATGACATAATAAAAAATTGGAATTTCCATTTAAAAAAATAATAATCAGTGAATATTTCGAAAGTGACGTCATCTATAAACAAAATGATATATTTTTTACATGTCCCCTTTGAAATTGTACAACTTTTGTCAAACATTTTCTCCTAAAATGTCGCGTTTACAAAAAGAGCGTGGAAGGGAGATGTGAACGGCAGCGTGTAGGGCGGCCATTTATACGGAAGCGTAGGGCGGCCATTTATACAGAAGCGTAGGGCGGCCATTTATACGGGAGTGTGAAGCCGAAGAAGTTATCAAATTTTTCTTAAATATCTCAGAAAATATTAGGCAAATAGAAAAATGTTTCAGACAAAAGTTGTTAAAATTAGTTCGTAGAAAAAGATGAGATAATAAAAAATTGGGGTTTCCGACTAAGAAAAGCAATAATCAGTGAATATCTCGAAAGTGGCACCATCTGTAAACATAACATTACTGCTGTTTTATGTCCCCTTTGAAATTATACAACTTTTGTCTGAAACATTTTTTTATTTGCCTAATATTTTCTGAGATATTTAAGGAAAACTCTTTCAACATTTAACTTATGATATATCGCTACCTATTTGTCGGAAGAAAAAGTGGTATTAGACTTTCTTATTCTATTTAGTCTCTAGAATATATTGCTACAATAGTGCTCTAATTTTTATTAACTTATCGGCTTATTTGGAAATTTCAAAATCATCAAATTAACAAAAAATCGGGGCACTATTGTAGCAATATATTCTATAGAGTAAATAGAGTGAGAGAGTCTAATATCACTTTTTATTCCGACAAATAGTTAGCGATATATCGTAAGTTAAATGTTGAAAAAGAATTACCAAACTTTTCCTCAAATATCTCGAAAAATATTAGGCAAATAAAAAATGTTTCAGACAAAAGTTGTTGAAATTAATTGGTAGAAAAAGACGTTGTAATAAAAAGTTCAAGTTTCTATTTAAGATTTTTATGTTGATCTTGACTGGGCTTTTCGAGGTCATTACAAAGTCAAATTTATGGCATCACTAAATAGATTCTCTAAAGCCTTACAACTTTTGTCTGTACCATTTTTTCTCTAAAATGTTGCGTTTACGAAAAAAATCGGATGGTTCGTTACTTTTGGGTCACCCTGTATATATGCACAGTCTGTCCCAGATCCAATGAGACTAGTCTAAAAAAATACAAAGCGTTTATTATTTTGATTTTTTATTCTTGTTTATTCAAAATAGTCTCCTGAGTCAATACAGCGTTGGAAACGTTCAACAAATTTTTCGAAACATTTTTTATACTCGTCGGCTGGAATGGCCTTTAGTATGGCGGTCGAAGTCTTTTGGATGATGGGGATTCTCGAAGGAATCCGGCAAGCATGTCAGCCATTGTAACTGGTGATGAAACGTGATGTTTTCAATACGAGCGAAAACAAAACATCAGAGTGCGGCATGGAAGTCAGCACCAGAAGAGCCAAAAGAGAAAAAATTACGCTTTCAGAAGAGCAAAATCAAAACAATGCTGACCGTTTTCTTCGATTCAAAAGAAATTGTTCACAGTGAATTCGTCCCAGAAGGTCAGACGGTGAACGCAGAATATTATCTGGGAGTTCTACAACGATTGTGGGCCAGAATTCGACGAGTTCGACCGGAATATCGAGAGCCAGGTAGTTGGTTTTTGTTGCACGATAATGCACCATCGCACAAAGCCATCGTGGTACGTGAATTCTTGACCAAAAAAAGCATCATAGTTATCGATCATCCACCGTGTTCACCTGATTTGGCTCCGTGCGACTTCTGGCTATTTCCCAAACTGAAATTGGTGATGAAAGGAAATCGTTTCGATACCATCCCGGTCATCCAAAAGACCGACCGCCATACTAAAGGCCATTCCAGCCGATGAGAATAAAAAATGTTTCGAAAAATTTCGGAATGGAGCGCAACATCCATTACCAAAGCGTCACTGTCGATGCGCCAAAGCGGCTGACGCTGTAGCTCACGAAAGAATCGCGCTGGATGCATCTTGGACTACATATTATTATTAGCGTCGTGCCGTGTCGCCGACCTTACAAAGTATTCGCGGTTTACAGAATACGAAGAGAGAGAGAGAGAGAGAGAGAGGCCGCGTCGACATGAGTTTGAACGACTGGATAATCGATGCTCTCGAGGCAACATTGGATTCGCATGGTCCGCTCGTACAGCGGCTGCGTCCAAGACTCGCGGCGCCTGCAACGCGACAGCAGACCAGCTGATCATGGCAGAGAACGATACGTTGTCGATGACCGTCGCCGGACAAACGACAAACGACGACGAACGGCATTGGCGACACGATGAGGAGAGTCATTTTGCTCTGCGACCAGGTAAAGCGTTGATCATTGACGAAGATTGAGCCGGCGCTCTGTTGCTGCTGTTGCTCAGTCGGGCCGACGTGTTGCGTCACGATGAGGACGGGAACGAAAATAGAGAATTTGTATCGGACATGTCATTGGCCGCCGCCACCGCCACCGCCGCCGTCGCCAAATGCACGATTGATAAATGGCGTATGTTTACATAGCCACACAAAAAAAGAGTGTCTTAATCTGGGGACAAGACATGTGTATTCCTATGTATTTTGACGCGCTGAATCCAAATCCGCTATCAGAAATGGCCCAACGGATCTTGGTTCAACCCTAACCTCAAAAAACCTAAAAATCACAGAAATATGCGATAAAATTGTGATATACTCCCTGACAGGCAAATTTTCACCTAAAAACCAATGTCTGCAGAGCCTTAACCTTACAATTAACCTGACCTGACCGTTAGGTTAGGTTAGGTTAGGTTGGGTTACGTGAGGTTAGGTTAGATTAGATTACCTCCCTCCCCGTGGGTGCCACCTTGACGTGGTGGGGAGGCTTGAAGGTCCCGATGATGTACAGAGCTGTGCCGGCGGGGGTTTCGGCCCCTGGCAGGTTCTACCATGCCGGAGTGGTCTGTACGGAGGGACTGGACCAAGAGCACCCGACCGGGCTGAGTGACCAGCCTGGTTCATGACCAGCACGGTCACAGAGCGGGTGGGAGGAGATCATCATCCCTGAAGGCATTGCACGCCGGTGCTCCGGCAGCCGACAGGGATGACCTCCTCCACACTCGCTCCAGGAAGGGGACCTCTCTCTCCGAGGCATTGCACGCCGGTGTTCCGGCAGCCGAAGAGAGAGAACCCTTTCCTCCCGCCTCGGTTGGACCGTTACGGTTAGACCGGGGCGGAGGGACGTACCTGAATCCAGGGCTCCACCCCATGGGGATCCTCCTCCCCCGTGGTGCCTGAGATGCGGAGGGGTACTCCGGGCCGCTCGGACGTTTCCGAGGCCGGGGTCGGGGTACCCTGTCGCGTCCTGAGAGATCCCACCCTCCGAGGCATCGCACGCCGGTGCTCCGGCAGCCGAAGAGGGGAGGACCTCTCTCCCTCGCTCGTCCCAGCCACGGCTGGGCGAATGAAGGATCCCACACCCGGGTCTGCACACCGTGGGACTATTCCCACGGTACCTGGGGGGTGGAGGGGATGTCCCGGGCCGCTCGGACTTATTCCGAGGTCGGGGTCGGGGCAGCCTAGGGTGACGAGGGGAGAGGACCCCACCTTCGTCTCGAAGGTGGACTCCCCGACTTCCCTCACCCGTTCGGCCCGGTCGAACGGACAGAGGAACCCACACCCGGGTCTGCACACCGTGGGGCTTGCCCCACGGTACCCGGGGGGTGGAGGGGTGTCTCGGGCCGCTCGGACGTATTCCGAGGTCGGGGTCGAGACACCCTCATGTGCCAACCAGAGGACTCATTCCCGGAGGCATTGCACGCCAGTGCTCCGGCAGCCAAAGGGAACGATCCTCTCCCTCATCCGTCCTGGCCACGGCCAGGCGGAGAGAGGTACCCACACCCGGGTCTGCACACCGTGAGGGTTTGGAACCCCTCACGGTACGCGGGGGGTGGAGGGGTGCTCCGGGCCGCTCGGACGTATTCCGAGGCGGGGCCGGAGCCCCTGTGTGCTGTGCCCGAGGGAATGCGATCGCATCACCCTAAAGCGGACTCTCGGGCGGCGCGAGCACGCTGGCTGCCATGGGGGAGACGTTCCCGGTGGGGTGCGACACCGGTGAACTATCTCCTTCCATGGGGCCCCCCGCGTGGCGGCGCTCTGCACGGTGCCCACATTGTCGGAGGTGTGGGACCCCCGAAAGCGGTCTGGCCACCAGAAATGGTGGTCAGGGCACGTGTAGGGGGCGGGAGGCCAGTGCCGACGATGTAATATTCCGTCGGCCCGTGCCATATGGTGCTCCTCTGGGGGAACTCGGAGACTCCCCCTTTCCGGGGGGATGCGGGCATGCCCGGGCACCGGAGCCGTGCAGAGTTGTGAGGTTCAAACCAAGATGACTGATTATATAACCTCCTCAAACTACGATACATCGGATTCGGAAATGATTAAGACGACCCAGGCAAATCCAAAGGACTTGAGAAGCCGACCTGGCAAAAGCCAGGTGACGGTTAGGAGAGAGGGACTCAGGAGCGCAAAGCTCCTAGAGAAGAGGAAGGCGGAAGAGACCGACAACAGCGATAGGTCCCGATCGCCCATCAAGGTCGACGACTCAACGCCATTCGCCACCTCAAAGGAAGAGGATTCCGATGACGGTGATGAAGTCACCATGAAAAAGGAAGGGAAGTGGGAAATCCCCAGAGACGAGGAAGGAAACACAGACGAGGAACGTCTGGTAGAGAAAGCAACTAGAGGTAGGGGCAGGCCCGAAACAACTGGGGGATACCGACTCAAGAAGGAGTTTATGGCAAGGAAACTTGCCATAATGGAACAGAAAAGAGAGGAAACTCTTCTGAAAGGGTTAGAAAATCCCATGGAGGAGTTCCTAGATTGTACCGCCAACAGGAAATATAAGGCGGAAATTAGAAGGCTGACGGAACACCTGGAGGAGGCTCCCTTCCGCGACATAACAGCGACGATTCTTGAAGCGTCCGCTAAAGTCCTCGGTTTTTCGCAGAAATCGAAAAGCCTAAAAGGAACCCATGTAAAGGTCCTCAGAGACGCAGCTGCAGCTATAACAGCAGGAGCAAACGTCCTGTCCATGCAAATGGCGCAGGACAAATGCGGAGGCAATCTCGACCTAATAGAAGAACTGCGGACGGAAAATGTAGGTCTCAAGACGTCGCTGAAGGAGGTAAGAAAGGAATTAGAGGAGGTAAAAGAAATGCTTCGAGGTATAAGGGAGGCACCGCTGCAAGTAGCGGTATCCTCCCCGCCCTCGAAGCAGCCAGGAAACGCGGACCAAGGTTTAAAGAAAGCACCACAACAACACGTGGCGGGTGCTCCCTCGCCCCTGGTCCACGTAGAGAGGGAAAGGGCGATCACCCCACCTATGGTGGACATGATGGAGGAGGAAGAGATACCAGTTGGGGTGATAGAAGTCCAAAAGGGTTTGATCCCGAGGGAAAAGAGACGCTCGATAAAGGAAGCCAGGGTCGCAAAGGCAGTAGAGGTAGGCCCCAAGATTAGGGAGGATATCCTACTCAATAAAAAAGTAAGGATAGAAAGGAAGAAGGAAAAGCCAACGAAGAAAGGGCTAGAAGAGGAAGTGTCCAAAATAGTGTTTAAAGCCCTAAATAAGTGGACACAGCAGGAGAAGGAAACTCCCAAACGAGGGGCCGGGAAGGGCAATAGAGAAAGCAAAGGGAAAGGAATGGAGAGAGAGTCGGTACAACATGGAGGAAATAAATACATGCAGGAATATCCTCAGCTGCCACCCACAAAAGAACAAAGGAGAGAGTATCAGGAGCAAATTAAAAAGGAAGGGGCACCCACAACACAGGGAGAAGAATGGTCGAAGGTAATAGGGAGGAGAGAGAAGAAGAAAGAGAAAGAAGAAAAGAAAAGGCAGGAAATAAAAAAAGTAGTTAAAATAGAAAGGAAGGAGGAGAAAAAGGTGAAGAGGAGAGTCCCCAATACCGCGGCGGTAACAGTAACCGCTGAACGGGGGCAATACAAAGACCTCCTAGCGGAGGCGAAAAAGAAGATCGATTTAACCGGAATTGGGATCGAAAAAATCAAGACCAGAGTAGGGGCTACCGGAGCTCTGATACTCGAGATACCGGGAGAGGAAAGGGGAAAACAGGCGGACCTACTGGCGGAAAAATTAAAAGAGGTTCTGACCGACAGAGCCAAAGTCAGTAGGCCGCAAAAGATGGGAGAGCTGCGAATCAAAGGAATGGAGATTTCAACCACGGAAAGTGAAGCAGCGGAGGTAGTGGCAAGAGTGGGGGGATGTAGAATAGGAGAGATCAAGACCGGGAAAATAAGGGAGGCGTGGAATGAGTACAGAACACTGTGGATACAATGCCCCCTCGCGGCGGCGAAGAAAGTCGCCGAACTAGGAAACATCAAAATAGGTTGGACGCAGGCCAAAGTAGAACTTCTACAGGCAAGGGCCCTCCAGTGCTTTAAATGCTTGGAAAGAGGGCACGTGCAGATTAATTGCAAAAGTAAAAGCGATAGAAGAGCCAACTGTTACAGATGCGGAGAACCCGGACACCTGGCTCGGGACTGTAGCTCAAGAGCCAGGTGTCAAATCTGCGAGGAGGCCGGTGTCAAATCGGGACATAGGATGGGGGGACCATCCTGCCGTCCCCCCAAGGGAAAAAAGAAAATCTCTGGGGATGAGGTGAGAGGGAGAATGGCGACCGCACCGCCGCCACGGGACCCTCCCGCATCCCCAGAGGGAATAAGGAAAGAGGAGGAAGGAAAGGAGAGGGAGGAGGAGGCAAATCGGGAACTGGAGCCGGAGTCCCAGCCTCCTCTCCCTCAAAGGAAGCGGAGAACCTCACTCCCTCTTTCGCCCCCCCCTCAGATCCCCACTGGAGATGAGAGGATGGAGGTGGTGGAGAAAAGGGGGGAGAAGAGAGTGAGGCCAGTAGAGAGCGAGGATACCGACGGCGAACAGCCGGGGGAAAAAGTGGTGGTCATCACTGAACCGGATAATGGACAGTAAGCTACTGCAAGGGAACCTGCACCTCGCCCGTCAAGCTCTATCGCTGTTTGAGCACACGATGACGGAGCGTGGTGCAGGCCTAGGCATAGCGGCAGAGCCTCACCATGTCCCCAGGAACAAAGATGGTTCGGGGACGAGGTGGGCTCTGTCGCTATAGTGTGGAAGGCGAGTAATAACTCACCCCCTGCGAAATACGTGGATCGCGGGAGGGGGTTTGTTGTGGTCAGGTGGGGAGTCGTCGCCGTGGTCGGGGTATACCTCCCCCCAGAGAAGAGCCTGGGCTTGGCTGACTACAAGTCCAGGCTCCAAGAAATGGGAGATGTCATCAAGAGACATCTCCCGGGTCCTGTCATCGTCGCCGGCGATTTCAACGCCAAATCGGAGCTATGGGGCTCCCGGCGCGATGACAGGAGGGGGGAGGTAACGGCGGATTGGGCCGTGGGCCTAGGTCTGCACATCTTGAACGATGGTAGAAAATCTACCTTCGTGGGGTCGAGGGGGGAGTCTATTATCGACCTGTCTTGGGCGACCCCCTCGGCCCTGCGAAGGGTGCGGACCTGGAGGGTGGCGGAGGAGCTGGAATCATTGTCGGACCATCTCTTAATAGAGATGGAGCTCTCCGTCACCCCCGATGGCCTACGGCCCCGCAATACGGACGGACCCCGGCCCGGTAGATGGGCTCTAGCCCAGTTAAACAGGGAGGACTTGGAAATCTCCCTGATGGGCTCCACCTGGCCACAGTGGAAGGACGGGCAGGACCTTGACTCTGAGGTCATGGAGGTTATGCAGGTTCTCGCACTCGCGTGCGATGCCTCCATGCCCAGAGTCAAGGCCTGCCCAAAACGATGCGCCTGGTGGTGGACCGACCAAATTGCCGCGTTGCGGCGGAGGTCGGTCCATCTCAGGCGCATGTTCCGAGCAGTGCGTTGGGACGCGGACCCTGAGGTCCCTCTGGCCGCCCGGCGGGAGTTCTGCGCAGCCGCGAAAGAACTCCGGCCGCCATAGGGGTGGCCAGAGGAAAGGGGTGGGGACGACCTCCTCCTCTCGTTGGACGCGGATCCGTGGGGGCGCCCATACAGGATGGTCATGCAAAAGCTGAGACCATGGGCGCCCCCTCTGACGGAGACGCTTGACTCCCGGTTCCTGGGACGGGTGATGGGGACCCTATTCCCGGTTGGGGGGGAAGACCCCATCTCCCAGTACGTAACCCCTCCCCCGAACAACAGGGGGAGGTTCCGGGAGTCACCGAGGAGGAGGTGGCCGAGGCTACCAAGAGGGTCAAGAGCAGGAAAGCTCCGGGACCCGATGGTATCCCCGGCCGTGTCCTCACCCTGGCCTCAGGGTATATGAGCGACAGGCTCGCGTGCCTTTTCACAAGGGCCATGAGGGAACGGAGATTCCCCCCAGTCTGGGGGAGGGCCAACGTGGTCCTCCTCCGAAAAGAGGGCAAGCCGGAGGATTCCCCTCCGCGTACCGGCCCATATGCCTCCTGGATGAGGCGGGCAAGCTCTTCGAGCGTATAATAGAGACCCGCCTCAAGAGGCATATGTCCCGGGAGGGTCCTGATTTAGGCGACGGCCAATATGGCTTCCGAGAGGCAGATCAACTGTGGATGCAGTGCTGCATCTAAAGTCCCTCTCGGGGGCCATAGTGTCGGAGGGCAGGGTGGCAGTTGCGATATCATTAGATATCGCAAATGCGTTCAACACCCTGCCCTGGGGTAGGGTGGTGCAGGCGATGAGAGGTTATTTCCGCTTCCCACCCTACCTCACGGCCGTCGTAGAGGACTACTTCCGGGGTCGGCGTCTTACGTGGACGGACGCCGATGGTACGGTGCGAGAGAGGGGGATGAGTCGTGGGGTCCCACAGGGATCGGTATTGGGGCCCCTACTGTGGAATATAGGTTATGACTCAGTCCTCCGGACAGCCCTCCCCCCCGGCTGTAGTACGTTGTGCTACGCTGACGACACGCTCGTCCTGGCCGGGGGGAGAGACTGGGGGGAGGCCGTTCACACGGCCAATTTAGCGGTGGCGGCGGTTGTGCGCTCCATCCGCAACTTGGGCCTGGTGGTGGCAGAAAGGAAGACGGAGGCGATCTTCCTTCACGCCAAGGGCATGAAGCCACCCCAGGCCAAATCAGGATAGGTCAAGTCAGGGTCCCCATAGAGGCCCAGATGAAATATCTGGGCCTCACCCTGGACGGCACCTGGTGCTTCAGAGAACATCTCAACAGGCTGGTCCCCCGACTCAGGATGATTTCCATCAACCTGGGCAGATTAATGCCCAATGTCGGGGGACCAGAAATGAAGGCACGTCGCCTCCACACAGGAGTTTAAACTCCGTGCGATGTACGGAGCGCCGGTATGGGCCGAGTCGCTGGCCGCCAGTCGCCCGATGCAAGCGCGGTTGCGCAAAGTGCAAAGGGGACTGGCGGCAGGGTAGCGAATGCTACCGGACCGTCTCCTGCGTGGCGGCGACAGTCCTGGCGAGCATGCCCCCCATGGAGCTCGTGGCTCTGTCGTACAAACGTATGTACGACAGGAAGCGCGAGCTCCTAAGAAGAGGGGGGGCGGACGTACCGCTCGCCAGGACAATAAGGGAGATGAAGCACCAGACTCGACGGATCCTCCTCGAAAGATGGCAGAGGTATCTGGCCAATGCCAGGTACGGGAGGAGGACCGTCGAGGCCGTCCGGCCCTTCCTGCTCGAGTGGGTAGGAAGGGCCCATGGGGCCCTGACTTTCAGGGCGGCGCAGGTGCTCACCGGGCATGGCTGCTTCGGTGAGTACCTGTGCCGCATAGGAAAGGAGCGCACAGCCGCCTGTCACCACTGCGGGAATGGCCACGACTCCGCGCAGCACACGCTCCAGCAGTGCCCGGCCTGGAGCAACGAGCGCGGAGTCGTGGAAAGGCAGTTAGGTCGCGACTTTCGCTCCCCAGTATAGTCCGGGCAATACTGGGGAGCGAAGAGAAGTGGGAGGCCTTCAACACCTGCGAAGGAGTCATGAAGAAGAAGGAGGAGGCTGAAGAGGAAAGAAGAAGAGCAGAGGGAAGGGGCATGAGGAAGAGACGGAGGGATCGCCACCGTCAATGGAGGGAGGGAGGAGCAGGAGCAAAGAGGGGGACGCAGACTCCTCGGAGGAGGAGGAACTGAGGAGGGGCTCAGCCTCCACCTCCACCTCCACCTCCTCCTCCTCCCCTGCTCCCCCTTCAACAAGGAGAGCGAGAGGAAGGATGAAAGCGAGAGCAGCAGCAACGACATGGAGAGGGCAGCTGGGAGCACCCATCAGAGATAGAGGGGTGGCGGTGGTGGCGCTGCGTAGGCTCGCCCCACTGGTGGTGGCGATAGCAACGCTTGCCGCCCTGTAGTCGGGGTAGATGTGGCACCGCCGCCGCCGCCACCCCCTGCTGCCCCACCAATAGCAGCAGCGGTGAAGGGAGCGGATGGGGGTCGAGGCTTAGGCCCAGGCCCCACACCCGCAGACCACCGGCACCCTCGAGAAAGGGTGTCGGATGACAATAAGGGGGGGAGAGGGATCGATGGTAGCGAATCGTCGGAATAAATGCCCCTCCCCCCTGCAATCGCAGGACCGATGAGCAAATCGGACATGCGGGAGGGGGTCACTAGGACCCCCGCCCCATTCCTCCGCGGAGGTGGGGAGAGCCCGGCGGCTAGGGGAGTATATCTCCCCGCAACCGCCTGCACTGGGCGGGGACTCCCGGTGTCCCAACCAGCCCTCCCAAGGTAGGGTGGCTGGCTGATACGGTGGGTCAGTCAGCCACACAACGTTTACAACTGGCGGCGCCTCGCCTGGTCGGGAACGGTGGTGAAGCGGGCCTCGGCCGGCTTCCCCCTTCCCGACCGAAGAGACGAGGCGTGAGAGTGGGGAAAGGGGAACGGTGGTCGAAGCGGGCCCTCGGGCCGGCTTCCCCTTCCCCTGGGGAGCGGCGGCCGAAGCGGACCCTCGGGTCGGCTTCCCCCCTCCCCACCCGCCCTTCAGGGACAGAAGGTGCAAACGTGGACTCGGGGCCCCGATTAGCAGTTACGCGGCACCGGGGCCCCGACCCAAGTCCCTTCGCAGCGCCACCCGAGGAGGTTTTAGCCGGTAGGAGTCCGGCATAACCCTGGCCCTTCCCCGAGGGTCAGGGTATCCATGATGGATTCCTCCTCGTCAAAAAAAAAAAAAAAAAAAAGATTAGATTAGGCTAGGTTAAGTTAGTAACCTAACTTAACCTAGCCTAATCTAATCTAACCTCACCTCACGTAACCCAACCGAACCGATTGTACTCTACTGCCGGGCAAGTCAATTTGACACGAAACCATTCTGATCAGAAGGATTCTGGAAACAGTCTGCGAGCCTTAACCTAACCTAACCTTTCTCGGTTGAAGTTGACATGACCGTCCATATGGTCAGCACATTCCTATACGTTTTCGGGTATTCGAGTTCAATTTTACGGTTTTGTGAAACTTACTTGTATCCCTAACCTCATGACCATTGAATCTTACTTTAAAAAAACCTCTGATTTCTCAAAATTGCTCATTTTGCAATTAAAAGAAGGACATGTGCTCAAAATATGTATATATATGAGCATGACATTTCAAATGTTTCTCGCGTCGCAGTTTATGAACTCGGGGTCACAATTTATATTCTTTTTCATGTTCAAATAAAATCTAACTTGTCATTCATATCAAATTAATTAACAAGTTGTCTTCAATCTATTTTCTTTCTACTATACCGTGTTCTTTTTTCTTCGAAGGATTTATGCAAAAGGTTTCGCTTACGTTTCTTCCCTTTTATTCGTTTCTCTTTTCAGCATCCAGCAAAAATTTTTGCTGGATGCTGAAACAGGACAATAGTTAATTGTAAGGTTAAGGCTCTGCAGACATTGGTTTTAGGTAAAAATTGCCTGTCAGGGAGTATATCACAATTTTATCGCATATTTCTTTGATTTTAGGTGTTTTTTTGAGGTTAGGGTTGAATCAAGACTCGTTGGGCCAATTCTGATAGCGGATTTGGATTCAGCGCGTCAAAATATTATAGGAATACACATGTCTCGTCCCCAGATCAAGTTACTTTTTTTTGTGTGGCTGTGTTATCAATCGAGCTCGAGAACGAACCGGTGGAATCCCGTATCGGGGCCAAGTTGAATGCCAATGTTCGAGAATTGTATGAAGCCATGTGCGAGCTTGGTCGCTCTGGCGACCACGACAACGACAACGACAACGTCGTCGTCGACGTTGACTTGTTGCCCGCCCTGACCGACGCGAGACGGTCGCGCGTCTACTCCGAAAGATTGGAACCCATGGTTGCGATGTACGATCGAATATCGCGCGCGTATCGGCGCAGAACAGCCGTAAGAACATGGCCTCCAATCGTTGAGCGGCGAAGCTGTTATGGCGACGAATGCGTCGTCATACGGCAACGGTGTACGAGAAAAACTGCCCCCGAAACCGACGTTTAAGCGANTTTTATGCAGCATCCTTGTTTTATCGGCAGCCTTTTTCCTCTTATTCGAGCATTTTCTTGAAAGGAAGATATTAAGCATTCATAAATCTTTGTCCTTTTTATTCAGTTACTTAAATCAATTGGTGCCATAACATCTCTTGCCAGAGGAATTTATAGTTCATTAACCATTAAATCTGAATCTTACATTATTAAGCATAGATCTTGCTCACTTTTAGGGAAGCGCCTTACTGGAGCTACCCGCCTCTATCCTTGTCCAGACTGAGGAGCGCCTTACGGGTGCCTCTCGGCTCAAGCATCCTATCCATCCCGTCCAACTCATAAGACCACCCCTTTCCATCAAGATCAGGAAATTTAACTTGTGAATTAATAACCTGTACAGTGCTTAGCATCCTTCAATCTCAGGGGCGCAGCTGACAGCCGCCACCCGCCTCAATTATCCTTCTCCTACAATCCGCATAACCTAACCCTGCCAAAGCATGGTAGTAAGCATTAATTATTAGTACTTTTACAGTACTCTGGCAACGGATAACTAAAGTCA